TGTGTGTGTGTGTGTGTGTGCGCGCAACTATGTGTGCCTTAGTGTCTGCCAAAAGGATAGTTGAGCTGGGCACCCACTGCCATTACTTTCCATAACAGGCAGACTGCGTTAGAGGCTGAGGCTCCTTGTGCTCCACACAGTTGAGCAGGGTGGCAGGGATTTTTACACTCAAGACCTCTTTCCCTCAGCCAGCTTCAAGTCCGGCACCATGGCACAACCAGCTCCCACTCACCCCACCAAGATGGGAGAGGGTCGGGCGATTGCCGTGCTGACATCTGGAGGAGATGCCCAGGGTGAGTGCATGGTGTGTGTGGAGTGCCATGGCAGGACATGTCTGCTATTTGTTTGATACAGCAGGTGGTTAAGAGGATCTGGTGAGTAATTAATAACTCTACAGGAGCATTTAATGAAAGATAATAAGAAGTAGTTATGTTGTAAAATGAGAGAAATGCTTAGAAATAGAGGAGAGTCGAAAATGTTCATGTCTCTCCATTGATTGCCTTAGATAGACCACACAGAGCTCCACACAGTAGCTTAGCTTGTCAACAGCTTAAAACTTGTTTTAAGTATAATATAGCCTGTAATAACATCTCTGTGTACTAGAGAAGTCCAATCTAGCTAGTTATCATCTGAAATCTTAGCATAACTTATTGAAAAGGGCAGCATGACCTCCCTCATTCCAAGCTGCTCAGACCACAGCGTCAGACAGATGCTCCTCTGACCTTTAACTTGACGAGGACCATATCGCCACTGCGACCTTTAGGACGTGTCAGTGACCCCACACCACCCTGACACTGACCGCTCCATCTGCTTGTTTCTCTACCAATCTTAACCTTAGCCAAACTGATGAAAAGGCTAACCCTGACCCTTCTTCCTTTTCACCTTTATTGTTCCTAATCACAGTCTTGCCTTTTTAATCATCTTGATATCTTCCTTGATTTAGTCCGACTTTCTGTATCTCCCTCCCTGTCTCTCTCACACTGTATCTGTTAGAGGGCTAATTTTAGAGGCATGACCTTTCTGTCATGTGTTTGTAAAGTGGAGAGGTAGTGAGTGAGCAGGCTGCTTTTACTCCACATTTCTCTCCTCTCCTCCTTTAAACTGTAAGTGGAGATGCGCTTGGCACACCTAACGTTAATCTATTCAAATCATGTCCTTTAAGTAACCCAATCCCAAGAGGCCAAGTTGCCTTTCCTGAAAAACAAAATGACACCACAGTTATAATCATCTGTCTTTACCTTAAGCTTGTTGTTTTTGTTGTTGCTCACCATCAGCAACAAAATAATAATATTAGTCAATGATTGAGAGTTTTGCAACATCCATGCAGCATGTTAAAGGGCTCTAAAAATAACTCACTCAAGCTAAAGGCCAAATAGTTTTAACTGCAGTACTTACATGAAATACAACATATTAATCATCATTATGTATATTTATAACAAAACTGATTTTTGTATTTAATATTTGATAAATCCAAAACCATTTATTACAGTAATTAGTATTTTCAACATATTTTTCCCACCATCCTGTTCAGGTAGTTCCACCTTTGTTTGAATGCTATCATAACATTATGTATTTATAATGCATATTGTGCATGCACTTTGCCGACAGGTATGAATGCAGCTGTACGGGCTACAGTTCGAGTTGGACTTTACACTGGAGCCAAGGTTTATTTTGTCCATGAGGTAAAAACTGCTTTTCATTTATTTTATTATTCTTATTCTATTAATATTATCAAAATAAATACAACAGACTGTATTTCTGTGCCTATTTATTGCAGTGCTAAACTGCTATTTGTCTTAAAAAAATTAAAAATTAAAGCAAAATTGATCACAACTGTGGAGCTGGTACCAGTAAATGTTCCATACTTTTGTTTGAGAAATTACTTCAAATCGAATTTATTTTTGATCAACAAATCCTTTTAACATTATTCCATTGCCAAACAAAACCAAATCCCATTTCCAACATATACTTGTTGGATTGAAATAGCGTGTCAAAGTAAACATATGTCTTCTTTCCATCAATGCCCTTTCAAAGAGGTGATTTTGTGTTGTGTTTGTTTGTTGACAGGGTTACCAGGGTCTGGTGGATGGAGGTGACAATATCCGCCTTGCTACTTGGGAGAGTGTGTCAATGATGCTACAGCTGGTGAGAATATAATAGCATATTTAAACAACAGCATTTGTTATTGGTACAGGTTTCTCTTTCACGATCCAAACTTTTTAAATGGGATGGATGATGTGTGTAACTTTAGCAGCTCTGGCCTCTACTTTACAGTTCTGTAGGTCAAGTGGTCATTTAAATGTCAAGGGTTCATTAAATAGCAAGACTTACTGCATCTTAGCCATGAGCACTAGGGTTTCATGACCTTACCCCTTATCCTTATCTGCCTCCTGATGAATCTTGTTTGGGAATGAAACTGTTCCTCCTTGCCCAACATCAGGGTGGGACTGTGATCGGTAGTGCCCGCTGCCAGGATTTCCGCACCAAGGAGGGCCGCACCAAGGCTGCCTGCAACTTAGTCAAGCTGGGCATCACTAACCTCTGTGTGATTGGTGGAGATGGCAGTCTGACAGGCGCCAACCAGTTCAGAACAGAGTGGAGTGAGCTGCTGGCAGATCTGGTCAAAGCCGGTGAGCGTCATGGCCATGAAATACACTAATCTAAACAACACAACTTATGTATACAAGAGAAACTAGAATGAAATTCAGTAGAGCAAGTCCCACCACCAAGGCCCAACAGTAACCTTAAATTCAAACAAGCTGCATTAAATTGCACAGACTCATCGTTCTCCAAAATACGCCAGATGTTTAAATAATAAAGATCCATTTTCTGGGAAATCTATGAAAATGTCCAGAAATGCTGTATTAATATCACAATCAGTGGTGGATATAGTTCTTAAACATAGAAATAAATAGACCAAAAAATATGATATAACTTTTCTACTTGAGTAAAGGTAAGAAAGTACTTACTACCAAGTGTCGCTCCTTCCCAGCCTAGTCTATCATTATTTTTCACTCTCAGGGGTGGCCTGTTCTGAATTAGTTACGATTGGATCAGTGGATCAATTCCCCTTTAATCGTTGATTACTTTTAAAAATATAAAGTACAAGGTGAACATTTAATACTTGTAAAAGTACCTTAATATAAACCTACTGCAGAGTACAGATACATGAAAAAAAAAATCAGGATCTCAGACCAAAATTGAATGCATTCTTTCTTGGCCCATGTCCCCTCCTTTGACCAAGTTTCATGGAAATTGGCTGCGTAGTTTATGGGTAATCCAACCAAAGAGCCGGGTTCACAACATAACCTCCTTGTGCTCTTTCACATCTGCTGTTTCATTTAACCATGCTGGTGAAATAATGCATTTAATCTTCTCTCAGGGAAGATCACAGTCAACGAGGCCAAGTGTTCCTCTCACCTCAACATAGTCGGCATGGTGGGCTCCATTGACAATGACTTCTGTGGCACTGACATGACCATTGGCACGGACTCTGCCCTGCACCGCATCATAGAGATAGTGGATGCCATCACCACCACAGCACAGAGGTATTAATTATACTGTAGACGTTTATTCACTCACATGAATGACAGATATACTGTAGCGAACTACTGTAGCAGTTTAAGATCTTTGACTTGAAATGTGTCATTCTGCAGTCACCAGAGGACTTTCATCCTGGAGGTGATGGGCAGACACTGTGGGTGAGTACAGCCTGTGTGCATGTTGTGCGGCAGGGTGGTGAAGTGGCCACAAAGCTCTGTAAATGGGTAGTTGTAACATGATGGATACTGATGCATAACATGTAAAGTGGTGGCTGTACATTACATACAAAAAACTGATGGGACTGTGGTACACAGGATCCAAATTGACAAGGCATTAAAACAAATTTAATCCAAATTACAGACTTGCAGTCTCTGTTTGTAGGTAGACAGTCACAAAGAAACTCAGTGACCCAAAACTAAAAACTCAGGAAGCAAAACAGGCAAAACTCAGGAACATGGACCAAACAGAAACTAAGAGCAACACTAGGGAACAAGAACAGGACTGGAACTGAACAGAGCCTAAACTGAACAGACACACTGACAGAGAAGACTGAGGAGCACAGAGACTACACGAGAGGGCCAGGGATAACTGGTGAAATAAACCGGGTGGGAGTAGACAATCACAGAAGTGAGAAACCAGACAAAGGGAGAATGTAAAAGAAAGACACACAACGTAGGTATCTAACAAACGCAGATGAAAACCTCATTATAAAAAAAAGATATAAATAAAAAAAACATCATTATGATGCACATCATGGTGAAGCAGCTTATTTGGCCTAAATCAAATGTTGATATGCTGTATGAAAAATGACCCAAGATTACATTAAATTGTTTAAAAGGTCATTACTCAGAGTCTAATTTTCAAAAGCATTTAATGCCCGCCTGATGACCTTCTACCCGCAGTTACCTGGCTTTAGTGACAGCTCTGGCCTGTGGCGCTGACTGGGTGTTCATCCCTGAGATGCCTCCAGATGATGAATGGGAGGAGCATCTCTGCAGGAGACTGAGAGACGTAAACACGTTTTACCCTGCATCATCCTCAGACACTAACTTTAATCTGGCTTTTTAAAAAGTCTCCATGTTGATCTTTAAAGCCGTTCTCTGTCCCTCACAGCAAAGAAGTCGTGGCTCTCGTTTGAACGTCATCATTGTGGCAGAGGGAGCGATGGACCGCAGTGGAAAGCCTATCACCTGTGAGAATGTCAAAGAGGTGAGTGAAGACAGTGCTCCAACAAACAAGCACACAGGATAGACTCTTGTAACAAAAGGAAGTCTGCTCATATATGATCTGTCTGTCCAGCTGGTATCAAAGAGGCTCGGCTTCGACACTCGTACGACCATCCTTGGGCACGTACAAAGAGGTGGAACCCCCTCTGCCTTTGACAGGATCTTGGTAATACCTCATTTTCCACATATATAAACTCATCTTTGTTCCATAAACAAAACATACATCTATCAGCTTCTCTATGTGCCAACGTGCTCTCTCTCATGCCTTGATATCATCCAGGCGAGCAGGATGGGAGTAGAGGCTGTGATGGCTCTGCTGGAGGCCACACCAGCCACTCCTGCATGTGTGGTCAGCTTGACTGGGAACATGGCTGTCAGGCTGCCTCTCATGGAGTGTGTGCAAGTGGTGAGTCAGTTATTTTTCCATACTGTACACAAAAAACATGATTCTTCAGTTTATCCAAAATGATTTAAATTATTGTCCGTAACTTATGTTTAGTATTTTGTTTATTTTCTCATTTAATTCTCTGTTTCCGTTTTGTCTTTTGATCAACTTCAGACTAAAGACGTCACCACAGCCATGTCCGAAGGAAGGTTTGACGATGCTGTGAAGCTCAGGGGAAAGTGAGGCACCCACGTTTGTGTTATCATTTCTATTTGTCATGTGTTGCATTGAGTTTGAAATGTCTGTACATTTCTCACTTCTGACAACAGGAGCTTTGAAAACAACTGGAACACTTACAAAATGCTGGCTCATCTGCACCCCCCAGACACAAAGGTGAGGAACTGCAGTTGTGCCACGTACATAAACTGTCTCTAGGTCAGTAAATCAATAGTGTGGTTCTGACAAGTGTCTCTGCAAATCTGACCATGTCAGAGTAATATCAACATTGCCGTTCTGAACGTGGGAGCTCCGTGTGCTGGGATGAATGCTGCAGTCCGTTCAGCTGTCAGGATCGGGCTTCTGCAGGGCCACCAGATGTTGGCAGTGCACGATGGTTTCGATGGCTTGGCTCATGGGATGGTAAATTCTAGTTACACACACACAGATAAACAAGAAAGCTTTTACTTTCATCATAAACATCCTTACCCTGTCACTGCATGTCTATACAATTGGAAGAGACTGACCTGTTTCTGCTCAGATTGAGCCCCTTGGATGGTCTGGAGTGGCAGGATGGACAGGAAAGGGGGGCTCCATGCTGGGAACTAAGAGGTGAGACTATCAGTTATGCTACATGTTTCAGTTTTTTTAAAACATTGACTTTTATCTTAACGTAACATGCAGCAGGTTATTCAGTATGTTTCCCTCCCATAAAGATCCCTTCCAAACGAGTTCATGGAGGAGATCAGTCTGAGCATCACTAAGTTCAACATTCATGCTCTAATCATTATTGGAGGCTTTGAGGTGAGCAGCAAGTATATGGAAGTTTTGCTTGTGTATTGACGCTATTATAGTCAGGACACACATAAGATGAAAGTCTCTTGTACTAATTTTGTACTTGGTGTTTTCATCAGGCGTTTATTGGAGGTCTGGAGATAGTGCAGGCTCGAGAGAAGTATGAGGAGCTGTGCATTCCCCTTGTCGTCATTCCTGCTACTGTCTCCAACAATGTTCCTGGATCTGACTTCAGTGTCGGCACTGACACTGCCCTCAACACCATAACCATGGTAAAAACTCTTAAAGACAAACACATAACACTCTAGCCCAGGATTATACACGTCCAACTCATGACAATTTATTCATCTTCAGACATGTGACAGGATCAAACAATCTGCTGCTGGCACCAAGAGGAGAGTGTTTATAGTTGAGACTATGGGAGGATACTGTGGCTACCTGGCAACCATGGCGGGCCTGGCATCTGGGGCTGACGCTGCCTACATCTATGAGGATCCTTTCAACATCCATGACCTAGAGGTCTGAGCTAATGAATGCATTAAAGGAAGTACCTCTGTGAGGGATGCATGGATGGACATTTCTAAACTCAGCAGTCTGACAGCTGGTTGGTTTTTAGGTGAACGTGGAACATCTGGTGGAGAAGATGAAGACCACGGTGAAGAGAGGGCTGATTCTTAGGTTTGTGATAATTTGCATAATTTCTGGTCTGAACAGAATTAACTTTACAGTCACAGTGGCTTTGTGCCTCATTCAATATCCTGCTTGTGTTTCAGAAATGAGAATAGCAACGCCAACTACACCACAGATTTTATCTTCAACCTGTACTCAGAGGAGGGCAAGGGTGTGTTCGACTGCAGAAAGAATGTACTCGGACATATGCAGCAGGTGTGTGTGTGTTCAGAACAGATCTTTGTTAGTTCTAATTCAATATTAACACAAATACAAACACAAAGCTTTTGGTTTACAGGGTGGAACGCCTAGTCCTTTTGACAGGAATTTTGGCACAAAGATGGGCATCAAGTCTGTCCTTTGGTTGACTGACAAGCTGAAGGAATGCTACAGACATGGTGATATTACTAAAACCACACAATGTTGTTTACTTCTGGTGTGCTCACCCCTTGTGCTTCCTGAGCTGATGTATGGTTTTATTTTTAATCTCAAACCTCCAGGTCGCATCTTCGCGAACACTTCAGATTCAGCTTGTGTGCTGGGCATGAGGAAGAGATGTTTGGTCTTCCAGCCTCTGGCAGAACTTAAAGAACACACTGACTTTGAGTAAGAAATTATTTTTAAATCCATTCTGTTTATTTTCTTGTCACTTCTTTTCTCTATTCTAAATTTTTGTCATTCTAAATTTATTCAAATTCACATGAAATCTACGAACATCATTTTTTTTACAACAAAATGAAACCTAATAACTGACCCAAATGAAATAAATGACACACCACTTTGCAGCTGGAGTTTGTAGTTAATTGTGTTGTTTTCTCAAACTGATAAAAACCAGAGCAAAACTAATGAATGGTAAACCACTTCAATAATGAAATGAAGAACTCAGTTATCAATATTATACATGGATTTGACAGGTAGAAATATATATCCATATAGTGCCCATAGTGGTCCAATTGCACTTTATGTGCACACATGCTGCTATTTCTTAATGTGATATAATGTTTTTGGCCTCTTAATGTGAAATTGGTCAAAAATTACTTTACTTATTATTTTACATAAATCATCTTGAGAACTTGCCTCTTGTTGTTATCATGCTCCTTGCTCTGACATACATTGAGGTTTGTTTTGTTTTTAATCTGCAGACACCGTATTCCAAAGGTACAGTGGTGGTTAAAGCTGAGGCCCATCCTGAAAATTCTGGCCAAGTACAAGATCAACCTGGACACCTCTGAAAAGACTGCGATGGAACATGTCATTAAGAAAAGAGGCCTAGTTGCTTAGAAGCCTTTATTCTCGACCTGACACCACATGTCTGTTTTCTTTTTGAAGCAACCCTTTCTTTGAAAAGTGCAATATGAATAAAGACGAGCAAGTCCCACAATAAACACTCAAAAGTCACACGATTATTTGGATTCACCTTTTAGAGCAGCTATTTAAATACTTTGAAAACCTGTGGTCTTCTGCATTTTGGGGAAAATATTGAAATATTGTACTTTCTCCTTCACTACATGTATTTGCTAATTTTCATTATAACTTACTTTGTAGATTCAGATTAATAGCACAAAAAAATCAACAAATGATTATGAGAAATGTGTTATAAACAATAAATTCTGATGCATTATTACAGGTTATCCTGGATAAATATTAATGATAAACAGCAGTGGAGCTAACCTTATGCCTTACTATCTATCTATCTATCTATCTATCTATCTATCTATCTATCTATCTATCTAATAAGTTTAAAATGGACCCCACCTTATAGCAGTAACATAAAACGATGCTGCATCAGTAATAATCAACATACTAACATACTCTGAAATTGGTCATTCTGTAACGTTGGTCATTTGCTTTATGTATTTGAGTTATGTATATTTTTATGGAAATACTGTTAAAATACTGTTAATTGAGCAAAATGTAGAAAGCATAATTACTTTACTTGCATTTCCAGCCTGTTGTTTATGGGAGATATTATGTGTAGCCATGTTTCTGATAAAGATGCAAACTTTTATTTGTTTAAACATTGGTTTTCAAACGTGGGTCATTGGTTCTGAACCTGAAGGGGCACTCGTACATGGCAAAGAAACTACATTACCCACAAGTCCCCTAAACTTCCGCATAAAACCGGATGTCTTGTCGGATTGGTTAACGGACGCCTTTCAAAAAAGAATGCGCGAGCAGTGCACTTGTGAAGGTTGTTGAGGATTTTATCCTTTTAGTTTGATTAAAGCGGTACAAAGTGTGTTCATGTGGATATCGGCTGTCTCCGTCATCTGCTGTGAATAAAGGTTTCTCTACAAAGGTCTTCCGCTCCAGGTCAGTGGCGGGTAACGCTCCCTGTAGCTATGTTAGCCAGTGTGAACGTTAACCACTCTCATGTTGCGCTGCACGTTGTCGCTAATGTCGTCACAGCTGAGCTACTTCGCTTCATGGAGCTTAAAGATAAAATGACTAACTCCTGACTGACGTGTCCTCCACAGCCTCCGACATGAAATGCTTAAAGGTGGACGAGTTCATCAAGCGGACTGCTTCCGTGGAGGAGACGGAGCGTTTGCTTCAGGAGCTCGAGGTTAGCATAACATTCAGTCAACTGTATACATTAGAGTCAAAGATCTTTGTTGTCATCGTACTCGAGTACAATGAAATAATAAGATGCTTCTCTCTCCGAGATAAATCTCTGTATAAGTGTAACAATGTAGTATGAAAATCAAAAATTGTAGCAGCATCAGACATCAGCAAATAACTATGTACAGAAGATACAATAATCATATTTACAGATTAGCTTACACTGCATTAACACAGTTGTAAAAGGTAAACTGTTTATAGCTTTGGAGCGGCTACAGCAAATTTATCACATCTTTAATAACATGAACCACTTTCAATACAAGTTAATGTTGTTTTGCTAGTTTAGGACTAAAGCGCTCATTTTAAATGAGGATTCCCTACCTCCAAATAGTCCAGTTGCTATATTAGATATTAAACATGTTTTCTTTATGAAACATCTTAATATTAACTATTAAGCAGAGAAGCTAAACCAGTTTTGTTTCCATTTTGCAGAATTATGTGAAGAGTAAACCAGGCCTTCAGGGTCGCACGCTGTGTGACAGGATCATCAGAGCCTGTAACCATCAACTTGGAGTTGGATGCCCTGACCGAGACCATATCAGTCTGTTGGTGAAGCTGGTGGAGCGTGCCCTTCATGGCTACGACATTTCTGCAGCACTTGCTCCTCAGAGCTGTCCGCTGTACATGGAAAAGATCATTTTCCATATCGTCAAGAAGCTAAGCTCCTTAAAAGCTCACAGCCTGTGCAGCTATGTGTCGGGGCTGGTTTACAGCAGACTTACCACAGCACAACAGGTATGTATGACTTCTAACAGCGGTGCTCCCGTATACACACTGCATGATTGTGTCATTACAATCAGCTTTAACAAGATTTATATGGTCTTTAGGGTGAGGACTACTCTGTTCTTTTGCGGAGCTGCTTCTCTGTGCTCTGGAGTGGATTATCTGCTAACAAAGACAGGAAGACTCTAAATCCACAAGAAAAACTCCACTGCCAGATGCAAGCTCTGAGCTTCCTCCTGTTGTTGGACACAGAAAGTGCGACTCCCTCCTTCTCCAAAGCTCCCATATACACAGAGGATGCCATCGCTGAATTTGAGAGTGCCTCTGGAGTGGTGACCAAAGAGGATGCCTCTTTTCTTCTCCAGGAATTGCGCTTGCTTTTCAACAGATGCCAGACTGGAAGTCAAGGCTGCAAGGAGGAAGGATCAAAGCAGTATATTAAGAAATCAAGTGTATATGTGCTTTTTGAAATCCTGCTAATTGCTGTTAGGATGCTTTGTAAAGCTGGACACTACGATCTGGCTTCCACCTTCCTGAGTGATATTGAGAGAGAGGTCAGAGACGTCTCTGCTGACTGTCAGTGTACAGCTCTGTTGCTCGGCAGGTGGGCTGTAGAAATTCATTCAACAATGAAGGCTGGTGAGGAGAGTGGCCAGGTTTTGACAAACTGTGCTCGAGCTTTGAGGTCTCTCTCTGCCGACCTGGGAGAACAAGAAGCTCATGCAGTTGTGGAAGGGTGTGGACTTGTGGTGTGGGCTGTCGAGAATGGCCACAACAAGGGATTAAGTGGTCCTCTGCTCCTGGCTTGGTTTTCATTCCTGGAGGAGTATCAGGAGCAGATATTAAACATGTTAAAAAAGGTGAGGCTGGTTACTTACTAGTAAAATGATACCATTGTATTATTCTCATACAACACCAAAAATGTTTTCATTGGTCAAATTTAGTTTTTGAGATGAGTAAATTGTGGCTTGTTCATGTTTACAGGATTTGACATGCCAGACTGAGGGCAGCAGACTGCAACAGACCCTGTGTTTCAGTATTTACCAAGGCTTTGTCTTTGCTTACGAGAGCATGCTCGCATCACAGGTGAGGATGACATCTGTCGCATCCATTCACACCCATTCAAGAGTTTAAATGTTCTTAGATTTGGACTTAAGTTCTGATTGTGATTTGTTGTTTTAGCTGGAGAACAGTGACATACTGGACAGAGTGCTGCTGTACTGCCAAGCCACAGCTGGGCAGATGATGACTGAGGTGCGCAAGCTGCCAAGTGAAAGTCTTCTCATCAAAGCAGGTGGTGATACTCTACTTTATTTATCGGTCGGTTAAAATAAAGACATTTAATGTGTTTCATTTTTTAATTTGTGTTCACTCTGTGTATTGCAGTGATAGCCTTGAGCAACTTAGTGTGCGGATTGTACAATCGACGTCTCTACGACCAGGGCTTCACGCTAGTTGAGATCCTCTGCAAGGATCTTTGCAAGAATTGCCCTGTCTCACTCTCTGTTGATCGGGTAAACTCCTTAATCATGTTTTTGATCTATTATGCATCACATTTCACAGCACATCATATCTTAACTGGAAGGGTACTCAGTAGAGTTGATACCTCTGCAAAGGCCCAACAGTCCTCTTTTGATACCACATATAAATTGACAGAACCTGATCTTTAAGTTTGGATCTGCACCAAATTGCACCAGCTCATAACTATCAACCCCCTACACATGCCTGATTTATTTGTTTTCAAGATCTATGAATTATCATTGTCTGAGAAATTTACAATAATCGTAAAAAAAAAAGCCCTATCTCACAATGTCAAAAGTCAGTAGATTCTTTCTTGGGTCAGGAACCACCACTGCATGATATTTCATGGAAATCAGTTGAGTAGTTTATGTCTAACAAACAAAAACAGATGAAAACATAACTACCTTGGCAGAGGTTACTAATTCTAGAATATTCTTGGATAGAAGCAAACTAAAATGATTATAGTCATTGTTTTCACCACTTCTAATTCTTAATGGCGATTATTATTATCATCTAGTTGTGCCGACCCTTCATGCTGGCGGTGCAGACTTCTCGGCGGGCTGGACAATTGGAGCGAGCACTCGACTGGGTGATTCTGTGGCTGAAAGCCCTGGGGGATAACATTCTCACTCATATGGCAGAACCAGTCTCCCTGTGGGTGAAAACCAAGACTGATGCAGCACGTAACTCTGAGGAGGACATTAGACTCAGGTACTTATAGGGGTGGGAATCTCTTGGCACCACACAATTCGATTCTGATTCAAAGGGTTACGATTCGATTATAAAATGATTATCGATGCTTCAAAGATATTCATTTTATATATGATTTATTTTGTTATCACTGTGTGACTATAGAGGTTACTGTTAATACAAGTGTGCTGTAATTTACAAAATACAAAAAATATGACAATAACAGTGAGTCTATAAAAGTGGTCAGTGATCTTCACATTGATTTGACATTAGTTCAGTTTAGACTTGTGTGCTGCATCTTTAGCCTTTACTGTCTCAGGGTACAAACAAAGTAAACATCAGTACTGTTCAGGTCCATGAAGCGATTCATTTCCCCACCTCTAGGATATGTGGTAATGAAGTTTACAGTATTAAAATTAAAGTCTCTAAATAATTCCTGACTAGATATGTAATAGCTAGGTCCTCTGTTGTGTTTACTAGTTAGGTTTTTGAATTTTAGTTTTATTCATAAGTATGGAAACTTACAAGTGTTTGCTTTTCTTGTAACAGGACATTACGTGATGGTTTTGGTCCTGACGTCCCTGATGAGAAAGTGATGCTCTGCCTTTTGGAGGAAGAGCTGCGTGCCTATAAGGAGGTGGCAGGGGACACTGCCCAGGAACGTTATAACACACTTTGTGACCTGTTGGACATCTGCCATGAGGAGAGCTCCTACACCCACCTACGTGCTGTCTACCTCTGTGAAATGGCCCAAGTTGTGTGTTTCCAGGACTTCAGTGATCAGACTGATTGGTAGGAGCTTTCGTTTACATCCACATTTACAAGGAATAGTGTTTCTTAACAGAAAAATGCCTTTGGTTTTCCAGTAGTCATTGTGAATATCAATTTGATGTTATGATCACTGTTCATATACATACTACCAAACGAGTCTTAAAGAAATGAGCAAGAAATCAAGTGGTTGAAAGAGAGAAACTTAGGAAAACCATGATTTTATGTAAATATAATGTTAATACATTTATTAAACAGTGGTTTATGAAACTAAAGCTGCACATTTGACTCTTATGTGTTAAAAGAATTTGCAACAACAATCTTAATTTGTGTGAATACATAGTAAAGGTGCGGCAAATATATCAGACCTGGTACCTGAACAATGTTTTGGGTACAATCTTGTTTTGTATGGGTACAAATTGGATTGCCACAATCTGGACCAACACTGTAGGAAGCCCACTAACCTTTCACTGTGTTTATTATATTTCTCTTTAATTACACAGCTCTGCAATTGATTTTACCCATGAAGCTTTGCGGCTACTGGAAGAAGAATCAGTGACTGCCGAGAATGCTGATAGACTAAAAGATGACAAGGCCCATGCTTCCCTTTGGCTCTTTGTCTGCACCCTTGAGAAGAATCTTCAGGAGGTTAGCGCTGAATCTATGCACATATATAAAGAATTGTCTGGATTAGGTAAAATACTTTGAGATGGATTTAAGTGGTACGTTCACTGATGGCAATGCATTGTGTTTTTTGCAAGGCCATTGAGAAGGACATAAAATTACGCGATTTGCGTAACCAGAAAAGATGTGTGGCCAATCCCATAGGAACCAACGATTTTGACTTTGAAGACCAGCAGAAAACAGAGGACAGCATTCTGCTCTATGAAGGCCTGCATTTCAACCTGGCTGCAGAAAACAGTAGGAACCATTTTTTCATATATAATTAATTGTCTTAATCTAATCACCAGTATCATGGTAAATGTTATACATACATGTTATTCTGCTCCAGAATTAATCCCCACCATGTACCATTGTTCGGGATCATCACTTGTTGTCTCTCTGCATAATTAATGTACCTTTTTTTTCCTCTTTCATAAGAATTGTGCGAACCTTTGGAAAGAGCTCTGGGTGAGTGGTCTGCTCTTCTGCAGAGTCCAGCTCTGCCTTCTGTCAGGAGCCCCAAACAGACCTGCACCTCCATTGCTCTGACTGCAGCTCTCTTCAGACTAATGGGAAAGGTAACAATTCAAGATATGGGCAAAATAAATGTAGATTATCTCTTGATAGTTTTTGGGTTCTGTCTTTAGCTCAAAATAGATTTAGATCTTGTATCAAACGTGTACCTCATTCACTTCATAAAGCTTCATAAATTAGGGATATATGTTTTTTTTCTCTGGTTAAGAGAATTTTAATAAATTGACTCATCATATGTCATCATCCAGATGATGGTAAAATAATTCACAGATCTATTAAGAATTTATTAAAATTGGTTTTACTGTACTGTAAAGGTGTGTCGGAGGTATTTCATGATGTCTACTGGGGTTAGGTTGATATAACTTGTTTTCACTTCATTGGTCATTATAGTATCTGTGTATTAATCAAATCTTTCTGTTCTCTCATGCAGCCTCTAAAGGCTTTGGAAGCTTACCAACTCACAATTGGACTTTCACGTCAACTTTCTGACGCACATGGTTGTGCCAGCTCCCTCTGTCACTCAGTCAGCCTCTTACTGGATATGGGTGCCCCTGAACTGGCTTTGGTAATGAAGTTTTGTAAGGATTGTTCTGTAATGGGACTGCTTGAGGTTTATTTGATATATATTTTTCAAGTTAATGAGAAATGAATCCCTAATGTAACTTGTGGTTTTAGGCCCAGTTAGAGCAAGCAGAAAAAAGTCTTGCCTCAGAAACGACCAATGAGGGAATGTCTTCCCTCTCTATGCTGCCCCTGCTGTTGAAAGCTCAGTACTACTACAGCACAGGACAGGTAGGTAACATGTCTGCTTGTAGTTTTTTTTATATTATTGGATTACTGCTGTTTTGCAGATTTGATTTAAGTTGATTTAATCAATGCTCTGTTGCTCTGTTGCTCTGTTCCTCTCTGGTAAATTTCAGGTGGGTCATGGAGTGCCTTATCTGTGTGAGGTGCTTAAAGAAGTGAATGAGCAGAGACAGTCGAAAGGTTGGTACCTGCTTCGTGCTCGGGCTCTGCAGACCTGCAGCTCCTACCTCAGTTTGGACACAGCTGCACTGCCACAGGCTGAGCGTGGACGTATCACTGAGCATGGTTCGAAGAAGAATTTTCTCCACTTTAACAGCTGGCTTTGTATTTTAATATTTCATGATGTTTGCAGCTATTGACCAATGTTTGTCTTTCTCAGGTATAAATAGCCCGGACACTGCTCTGTATGAAAGTCTGAAGCTTCTCTGCAGCCTGCTGGTCACTTTAGTAGGGAAAGGCCTGTACGGGTGTCATGGCAGCAGCTCAGATGTGCGCTTTATCGACCAAGGTACATTTGTCCCACACATTCATTCAACATTTCATTAAAAATAACTTATTTATTTATTTTTATTTTATTCTTCTTTTAATGCCCTCAGCTATTTCAGTTCCTCCCTCCCTGACTGTGTCTCTCTCTCTCTTGGTCCACGAGCAGGAGATAACCTGGTGCTAAAATGGCAGCTGCTCTCAGAGGTGTTAAACTGCTCCATGAAGATGGTTTCTCTTAGGAGCAGCTGTGGGGCCATCAATGATGCCAGGTTCCAATGCCTAGAAGCTCTTAAACTGGCCATAAAGCTGCAGGCACTCAGCCAGTAAGTACATGAACATGGTGGTGTGTTTAAGGTTAAAATAACTTTGTGAAGCAGGGTCTAAAAGCTTGTTTGTCCACTAAAACTTATCATTCTTAAATAGTGTTCTCTATAGCGTACCTTGATAAACACAGTGGAAGGCCACGTTGTGTTTCTGATTTTTGTTTTGTGCACTGTTAACCTTGATACAATGTTAAACAGTTTATTGTATTTGTAGATTTCACTGAGAATTTTATCAGTAGACACAAATTGTACTTTGATTAAAACCATTACAACCAACAAGCTGAGTGCATATTTCTAAATCTTTTTGTTGGTATTGCTAAACTGCTTAACATTTAAAGGTATTAATTATATTTTGCAGATTATGCGGGTGATCTTTTTTTAATACTGGTTTAATAACCAGATTTGTACTTTCTCAGTGATACTAGCATGGATAGGCAGAGCAATATATCACATTTTGAGGAAGCTTTTTGATTGAATTCCTTCCTTTCTCATTACTTTAGATGTGCTGAGCTGCTGGTGATGAAAGCGGAGTTGGAGCTTATGCAGGGGGAGAGAGAAGAAAGTAGTACTGATTTGGAAAATGTCAGAAACCTTCTGGACCTATGCACAGGTCAGTTTAATGCACAGCTACCAGTTCAAATAGCACTGGGCACTGATTCAATTAATATTTCAGTTTTTTGAGTGGAGTTGTAGAGTGATAATGTCATTATATTGTGTTATTGTTTCAGTTTATTTATTAGGAAAGTGGGGCACTGTTATTGCATCATACAGCCACTTTCTTGAGCTGCATAATTGACTTAAGTTTGTTTTCCTCAGATTTCTCTGATCAGGTGCAAAAGGCAGAGGTAAAAATCAAACCACGGAAAGGTCGGCCAGCAAAGAAACCTCAGCCTCCTCTACCTACTCTTGAGGATGATTGTAAAGACATCCTGAGCACTAGGTGGATTGCTAAAGAACCTGTGGTGAGGGACCTGACCAGCTCCCCACCGCTCAAAGCCCAACCATGTCGTTGGCTCTCCTCCCTGGCACATGAATCTGACTGTCAGTGCCCCTGCTGCTCTGAGCCCTGTCTGGGCCATGCCACTGCTCGCTGGGCTGCTACACAGGCTGATCTAGTTCTCAAGCTGGATTCCAATGACCCCAAAGTCGGTTTGAAGCTTCAATGGGCAACATTATCCCGCTGTGAGAGCATCACTGCCAAAGTTGGGGCGAAACTGGCTAAACTCTTCCCTCGGTGTGGCCCCACAAAAGGCTCCTCTAAACCCCTACTGATGCAAGATGTGGTGGGTCGTGTGTACCTTCACATGGCCCTGTCCAGTCTGGAACCAAGGCTCAACAACATTTGTGGTATATGGAAAATACTGAAAGCTGGTTTAGCATTTGTTGATTCCAAACTCTCTCCTGTGCTAAGACCCGTGAGAGCTGGCTTAATGGCAACCAAAGCCATAGTGTCATTGATCACCTTGGCTTCCAAAAGGGGTTGCAACCCAGAGGAGCTCTTCTCAAATGTGTGGACTTGGAATGCACCAAAAGACAAAGAGCTAAAATCAGAACAGAAAAATTTACCTGCCTCGTCCTTGAATAAAAAGCCTAAAGACTGCGTTAAAAACCCTGATGCTCCTGACAAAACAAAGGAGGCAAATAAGGTCAAGGCTGTCAAGCCCAAGATTCAAGTGATGAGCTCCTCAAGCAGAGGAAAGGGGCTGGTTCCCATGACACCAGTAATGGTAAAGTCAAAGTCTGCTGTTAAGGAGCTCACCTCTTTCGACTTCAACACAGTGGTACCTACTGTGGCTTGTACTCCTGTTCAAAAAGTGAAAGCTCCTGCTTCAGTGAGGAAAGCACCAACAACTGCTTCGAAGCAACAGTTTTATGTGTATGAAGAGTTTTCACCTTCCCAGCCAGTGCCTGCTGCCCCCAGACGCACCAGGACATCACGTTTCAAGGTCTGCATTGAATCAGAGAAAGTTTGTTGTTTCAAAAATGTACCGTTTGGTGTTTTTATGAATAATATCTTCCCTTTTTTGATATTTAATACAGGTGGAGTTTAGTGATGAGAGTGACTCAGAGGCTCATACCCAAACAGAGGCCAAAGAAAAAACAGATGCACCTAAAAAGCGAACAACAACCAGAAGAGCTGCCCAAAGTGCTAAAAAAGTCCCAGATCCACCTGCAGAGAGCAAACTCCCCAAGAGGCAGGCTAAGGGTAGAAAAACCACTGCAGTGCCAAGGGCCACGTCCTCCGAGGACGACGAAGGTTTGAGCCGTCCACCTGCGTCAACAAGAAGAGGTAGAAGCAGAAAGGAGCTGACCAAGACAGAGGTGGAAACAATGGAGGAGCTGGACAAAATGAGGACCATCAAGGAGGAATCTAATGAAGTTCTGGACATAAGCATCGAAGAGCTTAGGACATCCGACACTGAGGACAATCCTGCTTCAAGTAAAGATATCAGTGTGTATTTTGAAATTTTAAACCTTTCATACACACTTAAGTTGCGCTTAAAGTAGCATTCACATCAGTGATCACGCTTAAAATTTCTTCCCAGCTCAGTTATTGTAATTAAAATCAAATCTGTTCTTAATTATGTTTCAGAATATAAAAA